CGTTTTTTTTCTGGTGATAATGTTTGCGGTGAAGTATGATGCCCAGGCCCATTTTCATTTTTTCTTCATTTAGCGACCGTCCCCGGCCAAGCCTTGGAATAAGAGGCCGTCTCCGACTGGCCAGCCCTCGCCCCCCCCCCCTCCCCCGCCCACCGCCGAGATGTTTGCCGAACGTGATCTTGGGCAACATTCCATAGATCACACAGCTAGACGCAAAGGGACCCGAGATTAGTCAAAAACGAGACTTTTTCTTCTCCCCGTTTCCCTCGGCACCGTTTTTCGGCCACTTATTCCATTATGGCGGCCTCCGAGAGTCCTCGGGGCGCTTTGAGAGTGCCGGGGATGCGCGCCGAAGAGGCCCACTTGCCTGCCATCGATACTTTACACTGCCCCCGCACGCTGCCTTGCTGCCACCCTGCCAACGCTGGAAGCGCTGGAGGGGGGAGGGGCACAGTGGATTTGCCAGAAGAGCAATCGGAGAGCAATCCATTGGTGGGGTCACACGTTCGGTTCGAGTCTCATTTAGCGACTCTGGAGCTCAAAACGCGTCGAGGGTTTCGACCGCCTCCACCGGTCTTCTGGCCCACTGTGCGTCGGGGCGATTGCCGCTTCCGGGACGACGCGGCCTCGAGCGTGGCGAGCATGGCCTTGGACGCCACCACCCTGGAAGCACACTGGAAGCCCTGAGGTGGTCACGTCTGCCAGTGCAGGCCCCACCAGGGACGCCAAGCAGGCCCACGAGACAATAGCGCCCTTCGCCCTGTCTCGCTCGCACCCCCTGAGAGAGAGAGAGAGAGAGAGAGAGAGAGAGAGAGAGAGAGAGAGAGAGAGAGAGAGAGAGAGAGAGAGAGAGGGAGAGAGAGAGACGATTCTTTCGGAATGAGCTTCCAGCGCGTCAAAATGATGCCAATGTTTGTAGTTCGTGCGGTTCGAGGTGGCTGGGTGTCAACAGGACTCAGACTCGAGACGCGCCAGGTGCGGGCACATCCTATTGGCTGGCTGGCTGAGGTAGCGGCTCTCTTATTGGCTGCCCGGGGGCCTCGCTTTCTAATAGTGTCGCGTCTTGTTTGTGGAAGAGGTGGGGGGGGACCCCCCGGGGGCCACAGCAATTCCAGCAACGCGACCGAATGAAAGATTTCAGGGCTATCGCAATCAGCCCGTCCGGATGGGCACACTGTCAAGTTGCTTCTAAGCTAATTTTTTTGAAATGCGAGCAATATTTTGCGGAACGTTACACAGACGCGACGAAAAAGTCCCTCTTTTTTCGTGTGGGGTGCGTAGAGATCATCAATCACTGTTGATATTTTCTTAAAACACTGAGGAGCCCTAACCAGCCGCCCTGGAGGCCCTGGAGGCTCCAGGCCCGGCAAGCTGCTTGTTCATTGCACGGCCCGCTTCCAGCAGCTTCCAGCTCGACGGCCCGGCCCGCCTCGCCAGGCACGGGCTGAGATTACAACCGACATGCAGCCCGGCCCGGCCCGGCCCGGCCTGCAGACCGATTCCCAGAGTCACGCTCTGTCTCTCTCGCACCTGTGCGGAATACGTGAGTGCGAGAGAGACAGAGCGACGCCTTTTGGAATCCGTCTGCTGCGGGGGGCGCTGTGCAGCGCGCCGCGCCGGAGCGGGTGCTTCCAGTGCTGAGTTGCCGCTCAAACTAGCAAGTTTGGGCCCTCGGGTTCGAGGTTCGATCCCCGGCGGCGGCGCGGGCCGCGTGCACATTCCACTCAGCGGCAGAATTGCCGATGATCGACGGGGAAGTGGATGGCAAAAATAGAGCACAAAGTCTAAATTTGTGAAAAAATTATCGAGTAGTTTTAAAAGCTAACAGACGTCAGCCGTTGCCACACAGTAAAAAAAATTTGTACGTTCAATTCGGTGCGCTTTCTCACACTGTGAAATCTCCCTCTGGCACGAAGAAAAAGGTGCGGCTGGAGATGGACAGGCCTGGCTCTAAGTCGGGCCGCGTGTCGCGTAGTGTGTGTCACGGCGAGGAGAGGCTTTGCAAAGAAGGCTCCGTCACATTAGCCCATTATCCTGCAGGACCCTGGAGGAGCGAGCTTCCAGACTTTTGGGACACACTGGAAAAAAAATCGTTCGTTACTTGGTTTTTGATAATTAATAAAGGTGGATAGCGAGAAAGAAGTGCACGTTTGGAGAGCTTGATAAAGTGTGTTGTTTTTTTTTCTCTGCGATTTTAGTTTTTTGGTGGGGAAGGGAAGGGGTTGTTGCGGCTCCACCCAGCTCTGACTGGCTCTTCAGAGAGAGGGGGAGGGGTGGAGGGGAGTGGGGAGCTGAGAGAGAGAGAGAGAGAGAGAGAGAGAGAGAGAGAGAGAGAGAGAGAGAGAGAGAGAGAGAGAGAGAGAGAGAGAGAGGACTCCCACCCGATTTGCATGAGTGCGAATGGCTTAGCTCGGAAAGAGCCCTCTGCTGAATGCCCGCCCTTCAAGAAAAGAGATTCAAAACACGTTTGAATTTGAGCATTTTCCCCTTTTTGCCGAGTTTGTTGTCGTCCGTGGACTGCGGGGCCGTGACGTCCGCGCCGGACTTGGTTGGTTGCGCCGCTTCTCGGGTTGCCTAAGTCGCAAGGGACGGTCAGTCCTCCAGCCGAGCCTCCAGCCCTGTGACCCATTTCCGCCGCGCTGCACAGTGGGCCAGAAGACCGATGGAGGGCGGCCAAATTCCTAGACGCGTTTTGAGCTCCAGAGTCGTTAAACAGGAGTCGAACCGAACGTGTGACCCCACCAATAGATTGCTCTCCGAACGAGGAATCCATTGGTGGGGTCACACGTCCGGTTCTCGTCCTGCTTAGCGACTCTGGAGCTGAAAACGCGTCTCGAGTTTCGGCCGCCTCCACCGGTCTTCTGGCCCACTGTGCAGCGGGTACCGCGCGGAAGGTCGCCACTTCGATACTCGTCATTTGCGTCTGTTGCCGCTTTCGCCGGCTGGCAACGGCAGGGGCGAATTCAATTATAAAAGTGGCGCTTTTTGTTCTTGTTGCCACGCTGACGTACGGGGAAGGTGCTAATGAAGTTAGCCGGGCCGCGCCGAGCCGGACCAGCCGGGCCCGAGGCGTGGCTGGCTATGCTGCGCCGTGCCGCGCCGTGCCGCGCCGTGCCGCGCTACGCGGGTCTGCACGCCGGACGGCACGCCGGAGTGCTTCTGGGATGCTGCACTTTGGAAAGATACACAGAGTCCGCCGCGGCGCCGCGGCCCGGCCCCCGGTCCAGGATAAAACGACACCGAGCTAGTTTCCTGGTTCACAGGGAGAAGGGTGCGGACATCGCAACACGGACACTGTCACAAAAACTTGGGAATTCCCGGAGAACTTTTGTTGGGTAGAGAAAATTTACCTGTGGTCTTCGGAAATTCACAAAGTTTCTCTTTTATCGATGGGCAACCGTTCCGAACTTGACAGCAGTGCCTGCTTTGGACAAACGCCACCGATTCCTGACTTTCCGACCTCCGTCCTCGTGACTGGATCTGAACCTTGACCCTGCCCCAGGTCCCGGTGCCTGGCAGTGCCTGGTACTCGGCGGACCCCATCGTCCCTTGCAGGGGTCTCCCTTCGTTGGCCTTGCCTGCACTGTAAAAAATTCCGTACTTTTGTCCGGAAACTGCACAGAAAAATATAGTACGGACGTGCGGAGAAAAGTACGTGCCGTATGAACCCATGTAAACGGGTACGGAAAAAAAGAACGGAAGTTCCGTGGTTGGCAAGTACGGACGGTTGACCAGACATGTTTCGTACTTTCTCTGTACTTTTTTTTCTCACAGTGTGTGCGGTGTGCGACGAGGATAGAGATACGTTGCGACGCGCAAAAGAAGGAGGGCTCGTCTCTGTCTCTCTCGCACCCACACAGGGGGTGCCCCGCAAGTGCGAGAGAGAGAGAGAGAGAGAGAGAGAGAGAGAGAGAGAGGGAGAGAGAGAGAGAGAGAGAGAGAGAGAGAGAGAGAGGGAGAGAGAGAGGAGAGGGGAGAGAGAGAGAGAGAGGAGAGAGAGAGAGAGAGAGAGAGAGAGAGAGAGAGAGCCGCGGCCACCTAGACTCGCTCGCTGACTCCAGAGTCGCATCCACGGCCGACTTGAAACTTTCGACGAGAAGGCGGAGGCCCGGCGACGGCCTGGCTGCGCGCTGCGCGCTGCGCCTCCACAGCCTTCCAGTGTTGCGGTTCCCTGCTCACTTTTTGCCTTGCCAGCGAGTCGGAGAGTCGGAGAGTCGGAGGCGGTGCGGCAGCGCGGCCGGGACGGCGATGCGCCGACAGCGGCGTGTGGGGCCTGTTCTTTGGCGACATGTTATTCCAGAGTGGAGAGGGACTCAGCCACACACTCACACACTCACCCGATGCCGCATTCACACACACACACACACACACACACACACACAGTGTGACAATGCAAATAAATATCGACAAGATCCTTGGCTCGCGGTGATTGACGTATGAACGGCGCCCCTGATGTTCCAGTGACGTGCCACCGCCGGTTGTTCATCGCCAGATTGCGTGTGCGTGTGTGTGTGTGTGGTTCCGTTGTTGTTGTTTTTTGTTTGTGTTGGTATTCGACAGGCAAGCGATATGAGTGACTGTCGCAGGCTGCAGCCGACGCTCCGCGACGTATATTGCATTGCCCCCCCCCCCCCTTTCTGAGGGGTGGGGGAGAAGAAACTTCTAACGCTGAGGCCTCGCCGTGGATCCGAACTAGTCATGTCAAGAGTGCGAGAGAGACAGAGCTACTCGAAGGTGCCCCAGCGGTGCATCTTGTGGATGCCCGATAAGCCGCTTACAGTGGCGAGGCAAAAGGGAGGGGGGGGGCACCGCGGCGCCAGCGGGGCAGATGAACTAGCTGGTCCATTTCATCATTTCGTCTGCCAATATTCCAATTACGCCTGTAGGGGATTAGTCCATGCTAATAGGCTGAGCGACGCGGGCCCTCTGCGTACGAATCTCGCGGTGAGGGCCGCTGGTTCCAATACTGACTCAATTTTTTTTTTACCGTGTTGTTGCAGACTGACCATCAAGGCCGGCTGCCCGATGCACCTCGAGGACTTCCCCATGGACATCCAGAAGTGCCCGCTCAAGTTTGGAAGTTGTGAGTATCAAGCTCTGTGAACAAACTCGTTTTACGAAATGATTTTTGTAGGTGTCTCGACCTTTTTTGCCTAAGTTTGTCTGCTACATGACCCTATGACAAACGACTCCATCTTCCATTTGTGCGAGAGAGAAAAATGAAACGATAAAAATGAAAAATTCCCTAGCGTCTTTCCCTGAGGATGTTCCCGCGGGAGGTCTGGTGAGAGTGAGTGAGAGAGAGAGAGAGAGAGAGAGAGAGAGAGAGAGAGAGAGAGAGAGAGAGAGAGAGAGAGAGAGAGAGAGAGAGAGAGAGACGCGCACTCTCCGCCTGTCGATCAAACTGGATCGGATTCGAAACATTGCCTCATCGCCCTCTTTACATTTTCCCTCTGTTTCCCCCGTCAAGCTGACGTGGCCGGGGTTGCCCGGAGTCTCCGGGCCTTCGAGGCGAGTCGAGGCGCAGACACGCAGACACGCAGCCACCCAAGGAGGGAACGGAAAGAAGTGGTCGAACCCACGTCACCTCCGCACCACCGCCTTCGTTCGCGCCTTCGCAGTCCGTCTCAACAAAAACGCACACGTCAAAACATTTTCGACTTCCAACACAAACAAAATGAAAAAAAGATCATTTTTTTCATGACCAGGGTCAGTTTTTGAACCCGCAAAACAGCAAACACACAAAAAAAAAACGTAATTTTGAAAAAAAATGGCCGCGGCTGGTAGTCGAACCCGCGACCCCGCCATCGCGCCCGCTTGGCGCCTTTCGGACATAAACGCGTTGGCGGGTCTGCAGCACGCGGCACTCTTTTTGTTGTGACGTCACGACTGGCGGGGTGGTCTGGTGTGCAGACTGATTCCGCGCAGAGAGAGAGAGAGAGAGCAATGAATGGCGGCGTCCTCTTCACGGTCCTGCAGGCCTCCATAGCGGATGGCGGCCTGCATGGCTGGCGGCGCGACGCAGCCGAGGGCCAAAACGGCGAGGGGAGGGGGGGGGAGGGAAAGCACAAAATGCGGGCAATGAATTCTGTAAACCGAACGGCGAGGAGAGTCCGCTTCAGCTCAATCGGGGTGTGTGTGTGTGTGTGTGTGTGTGTGTGTGACGAGGAACAGAGAGGGGTCGGGAGAGGCGGGCTGATAGGCATCGTTGAGAGATCTCTCGCTCGTGTTGGGGCGCAAATACCTGGTAAATGCCCTTGCCAACGCTGCGCGCGCGGCGGGACTTTCGACCTGCTTGTGTGGCCGGCCTGTCTGACCGCGCCGCACGCCGGGGGTGCGGTCTGCCTGTTGTGCCTGGTGTGCCTGCACTGTGCAGTGCACTGTCGGCGTGGCGTGCTTCTGACGTCCCACAGTGGGCCAGAAGGCCGGTGGAGCCGGCCAAAACTCTGGACGCGTTTTGAGCTCCAGAGTCGCTAAATGGGACTCGAACCGAACGTGTGACCCCACCAATGGACTGCTCTCCGAACGAGGAATCCATTGGTGGGGTCACACGCTCAGTTCGAGTCCTGCTTAGCGACTCTGGAGCTCTGGAGTTTTGTCCGCCTCCACCGGTCGTCTGGCCCACTGTGCGTTCCCACACGGCGACACGCAGTGCCCCGCAGTGCCACGCAGTGCATGCAGTGTCCCGCTGTCAGGCTGCATGGTGCAGGCTGCTGCAGGCTGGCTCCGGCCTGGAGGGGTGGAGGAGGCTGCCTGCGGTCTGGAAACATGTGTGATGGGCGGCTGCGATCGCCAGCGACTGGGGAGGCGGACAGACGGACAGACAGACAAACAGACAGACAGACAGACAGACAGACAGACAGACAGACAGACAGACAGACAGACAGACAGACAGACAGACGGGCGCAGAGCGGCGCACAGCTCGCGCGGCTGCTGGTGCACTGTGGGCAGTGCTTGCGATTTTACGATCCGAATTGCACTGGTGCCGAACACACGCCTTATGCTCTTAACACACTGGTGCATTGTGGGAATTTCCACCCTCTGTGTAGTTACACTGTTAGCAGCCCTGTGAACCCCATGTGGGGATTTTTGCCTGCTTGTGTGGCAGCACTGTCTGCGGGTCTTACTCAAAGCGCGCGCTGGGTCGGCCGTGCTAGCGGCCCCCGCGGCGCTGAGACCACCGAAGCCTCTGAAACCGGAGAGCCACGTTCTCGGAACCTGCAGCGGCGGCGAGGCTGGCTATACCATGATATACTGCGAGTTTCGGTTTTTATCCCATCCCGACCGACGTTCGGCTCGGATTAGCCGGCCCTCTCCTCGTCTTTCATCTCTCCTCTCTCTCTCTCTCTCTCTCTCCCTCTCTGTCCAATCTTCGGCCGACCTGATCAGACGGAAAGCGACTAACGAGGCGTTAGCGCGGGTTGCGCCGCCGGGCGCGGTGCAGTGGATTTGCCAGAAGACCGGTGGAGGCGGCCAAAACCCCGGACGCGTTTTGAGCTCCAGAGTCCCTGGAACTCGAACCGAACAGTACCCCGGGTCTCGCAGGCGCTTGGAGCGCCGTGAGCGTAGGCCACACCAGCACACCGCTGCCCGCCGGTTGCCTACCCCGGGTCTCGCAGGCGCTTGAGCGCCGTGAGTGCCTACCCCGGGTCTCGCAGGCGCTTGGAGCGCCGTGAGCGTAGGCCACACCAGCACACCGCTGCCCGCCGGTTGCCTACCCCGGGTCTCGCAGGCGCTTGGAGCGCCGTGTGCGTAGGCCACACCAGCACACCGCTGCCCGCCGGTTGCCTACCCCGGGTCTCGCAGGCGCTTGGAGCGCCGTGAGCTTTGTCCGCCTCCACCGGTCTTCTGGCCCACTGTGCGGCGAGGCCGTGCGCCCCTTGAGCACGCGTTGGCCGTTTATGCCTGGCCACGGGGAGGCTCTGCATTGCCTTGGAGTGCGTGCTCCGCGGTGCTGCGCGGTGCGCCGAGAGAGACAGACAGGAATTGGGGGAGGGGGACGCGGAATCAGGAACGGATTGCGGAGATCCGTGGTTTAGTCTGGCCGCCCCCCGCCTCCCCTCTCGTCGTACACGCACAGACAAGCAAGACACTCTTCCAGCCGCTCAGCGTGAGCTCTATTTTTTTATTGTCTGAGGGATCGTCCGAAAATGACGAAGGACGAAATGGGTCCCCTTACCCTCCACGGGCAGAAGCGGCCGAAAATGTGCCGAAAACGACTTGTCCACCTCGACGATGAAATGACGATCTTTCTATTTTGACGTGGAAACGACGCTGCTTGCAGTCGGCTACACGACGCGGGACGTCCTGTACCGCTGGAACCCGTCGCGCCAGGTGGCCATCGCCGACGACATGAAGCTGTCCCAGTTCGACCTGATCGCCAACCCCGCCGCCAACCACACCGACATCCTCAAGACGGGTGAGTGCCTCCAGCAAGTGACCCGAGAAGCTTTTTTGTATGCCATTAATTTGACACAAAATAAGTCGCCCAAGTTTGTGACAATTTTGACATCGACTTGAAAGTGACTTGGAGACGGAGTTTGATTGGGGGAATACAGTACCGCCGAGCTTCGGATGGGGAGGTTTTCGGACACCACTGGCGCCATCTGTCGGAGGCTTTTAAAGCCTGCGCCTCGCCTGGCACGGCATGGAGCGCCCCCAACGCCCTCTCGCGGTGCGGCGCGGTGCGGTGGGGGTGGTGGCTGCGCAGGGGGTAGCGAAGCAAGCGTAACGACTGCCGCGCACCGCCTCAACGCGACTGACTCTCTCTGTCTCTGTCTCGCAGGCGAGCACTCCATGCTGCTGGTGTCCTTCCACCTGCAGCGCCACATGGGCAACTTCCTGATCCAGGTGTACGGGCCGTGCGTGCTGCTGGTGGTGCTGTCCTGGGTGTCCTTCTGGCTGAACCGGGAGGCGACGGCGGACCGCGTGTCGCTGGGCATCACCACGGTGCTCACCATGACCTTCCTGGGGCTGGAGGCGCGCACCGACCTGCCCAAGGTGCCGTACCCCACGGCGCTGGACTTCTTCGTCTTCCTGTCCTTCGCCTTCATCTTCGCCACCATCATCCAGGTCTGGACACTGTCTTTTTCTGCTCGTTTATTTTCGCTCCGCCGGTCACTGCAGTGTGCTGCCTGCCCCCAGTTCGCCGTGGTGCACTACTTCACCAAGTACGGGTCCGGGGAGTGCTACTTCAGCGCGGAGCTGATGTCGGACTCGGAGTCCGACGAGGAGGACGCGTCCCGGCCGTCGCGGCCGTCGCTGCGCCGCCGCCAGATGGAGATGCCCGAGGTGATCCCGCTGGAGCTGGGCACGCTGGGCCCCATCGGGGGCGGCGCCGCCCCCGCCTGGTCGTCGTGGTCGTGCTTCCGCTGCGGCGGCGGCCCGGGCTCGGCGGGCCACTCCGCCACCCCCAGCGCGGCCACCAGCTCGGCGCCGTCCGCCGCCTCCAGCCCCGCCGTGCACCTCCGCACCTCGGTGCGGGTGCAGCCCGCCGTCAGCAGCGCGCCGGGCCACGCCAGGCTCAGCCTCCAAGGTTCGGAAAAAATAAGAATCAAGCACCGGTTCCAGCAAAAAAAAAATTGTATTTGAACCCGGGCGTGTTGTCCACTCCACTCCACAGGGTCCCGGTCCAGCAGGAACAGTCGGCGGCGCCACAAGCCGCGGACGCCGCGGTTCAACTCCGTGTCGCAGATCGACCGCGCCTCGCGGGTCGTGTTCCCGCTCCTGTTCCTCACCATCAACATCGCGTACTGGTGCGCGTACCTGTCGCGATCGCAGCGCATCGCCTGAGCGGCCTGAGCACCGCGCCTGCAGTTCGTTTCTCTCGCTCTCGCACCCTGACGAGGCGCCCCTTGAGTGCGACAGAGACAGTGACGAAACGGCGACTCCTGCATCGTGCGCTCCTTGAACTGACTGGCCGGCATTGCCCCGTTCAGAAACTTTTACCGAACACAACGAATTGACAACTCTGGTAACGGAACTTTCGTCCCCAAATCGTCAGTTGCACCATTTGGTGTATGCACAAATTTTGAGGTGTAGTGTTGTTGACAGCCTCCAGATTTTTATTTTCTTTGTGCATTGATAAGAAAACCCATTTGTTGATTTTTTTAAGGAAAGGGTTTATTTATTATTATTAAGGAGTCAGAACTGTTGAAGTGTTGTTGGTTTGTTGGATGGCTGGTTTGTGTTCCTTTATTCATCATTCAATGAGATGTTTATGAAAAAGAGTAGTTCCTGAACCTATTTTAAGGTGTGTTATGGCTATCGGTTTAGTTGTAAGTGTCTGGGTGTAGATAATGAAAATAAGTTATGTGCGTCTGATTTACTGTGCATGCATGTGTCCAAGTACCGAACAAGTAACTTACTTTCCGCAATAATGGCAAGTGTTTGAAACACTTTTTTTTGCCTGACTTTTTTATGCTTATCATTATCAATAGTTGAGCCAATGGTTTGTAGAGGTCCTTGGCTTAAATTTGTCTTCTCAGTAATATGCATCTGAACTATTTTAGTCAAGCCCTGTTTGACTTCTAAAAAAAGTGCTCATCACCAAGGCTCAGTGAATGTCAGTAGTAAATGCATTATTTAGAACAACACATGTGAGGAACATTCCATAAAACTGTAGTTGATCTGAGGATTGAATTATGATTTTTTCTTGCAATTATGTAGATTTACATTCAGATTGATACACATTTACCTAGATAAATGTGTAGAAAATTTTTCTGTGAAATCTGTTTTGGGCTCTTGACTACTACAGTACCTACCTTGTAAATGAACTTTGTTTCCTTGATGCAAATCCTTTGAAATAAATGCCATGCAACATTCATCTTTTTCTGAACAGGAATTCCTAGTGTATTTGAAAGTGAAATATGTGTAGTGCATGAATGGATGTTCTCAACAAAAGTGGTCATAGATTGTGCTCATGATTAACATAAGTTTAACTTCCATGTACACTTACTTGTGTTAATTTGTTTGATTTGTAATGACATTGGTTTTATTTACCTATGTGTTACACATTTTTCAACAAATGGTTTGTCAAATTATATACATGCAGGAATAGCATTCTGCTCCAATGCATTTCACGTAAATAAAACTTAAATGACTACTTTCTATTGTACCAACGATGTCCATGCACATAAAGCGAAGTCTAACATAGCACAGGCAAGAGAATTGCCTTTTCTGGACTTTGTGTAGGCACTAGAAAGTAAGGGGGCATCTTCTTTCCAGTGCTTGGTAGCAGGAGCACAGAATGACACAAAAAAACAATAATTCTTGACCAATATAATTCCCTTGACAAATTTAACACAATGCATCATCAATGTATACCGTTAACATCATGATTAAAGTTAAAAATTGAATGAATACATTTTACCAGAAAATCAGGTAACAATCAAATACTAAGCATAAGTGCTAGGCTGAACTTGAAAATGGCACAAGAGCATTGGCATTAACTACACTGCTCCACCCCTCCCTAAAAAAATTATTGCTTTGGTTGATCATTTAATATTACCTTGAGGATTCTACTAAATCAATACAGCTATACTTATAACAAAAGCTTCCAAAATTCATAGAAAGCAAAATTTGTGCTAAGGTGCTTGTGTTGTAGACAGCATTGAGTCACCAAGAAATAAGATTAACAATAAATAGAAAGTTTGATTACAATGCTTTTGTGATAGGAAGCCACTAAAACTCTATTTGAAGACACTATCTATTAAAAGACACTATCTACTTAAAGGCACAATTTGAAGAAAATCTCCATTTCAGCTTTTAGCACACACTCGGTGTTTAGTTTGCCTTGTCTGAGAAGATCTAAAAGACAATGATATATAGTAAAGTTTTTAAGCAGGGTCATTTCTAACAAAATTACAACAAAGTCCTAATTACATTATGGCCCACACAAGATAAAATAGTGACAGGTGGAATTCCCACTCTGTTTGCTCCTGCAATGTGTTCTAAAACGCAAATATATATACTTTAAAAAATCAGTCTAAGACCCAATTCAGCCATAACACAGACATTATCATAAAATCACAAAACGTTGGAATACAAAAGGCCACTTTAAAAAGCACATGCTTGCCCTTGCAATTCATGTGCAAGACAAACAACTATATTAAACAGGGACAAGCGCTGTCGCTTTCAAGCAGATTTGAGTGTTACTATGAGGTCAAGGCCCACTTGATTGCTGCCTAGTTCTGCACGGAATAACTGGGCATGCTGCCAAGCCACATTGCCAACTCCACCACAGAGATCAACATTGACCTTGATAATGCTGGCACCTGCGAGAGCTGTTGTCGTAATGGACATTTCTGGTTTGTCGGAAAGAAAAGTTGGAATCAATCTTGGTCAGTAGCACAGCCAGCATGTCAACACGAGTGCACAATCACACGTACCTGTCGGCAATTTCACACAACTGTCTCCTCCACAAATCAAAGCAGTTACCTGTCCACTTTCAAAGACTTTGGAACTGAGGGTTAACTCAACACTTTCCGCCACAAAGCCACTTCCAGTCAGGTCTATGCTCCAAGACACCTTCCCAACCTCGCTGCCCTCTGAAAAAAAAAAAAGCAGAAGAATTAATGGAGGTTTTTATCTGAGTGCGCTGTTTCCCAATTTTTGCTAAGAAGAAATAGGGCACATACCTTCTCGAGCCAAGTAAACCATGTTCCAGTCCTTCTCTTCCTTTCGGAATATACTTTGGATGGTGTTAACTCCATTTTGCCAACCAGTTAAGAAAATATCAGAACCTCTCAGATATTGATCCAGGCCAGGTACATACTTGATGCACAGTTTTCTACTTTCAATCTCCAATGGTGTAGGTTTCCACACATAAGGCTCACTTACAGATACTGTTGTCTCTCCTCGAGAAAGCCTCCATGCAAGGGAGCCAGACTGCCTTCCTTGGTACACACCATCTTTCTGAGATGGCTCTTTCCACAACTCAACCAACTCAAATAAAGTGCGCTTCAGGAGATATTCTTTCCTGGGGACAACAAATAAAAACAAAAATAAGCAATTCTGAAAAAAAAAAAAATTCCTCAGATTCAGAGAAAATTGTCAAACAGACCTAGCACTCGAGAGATTTTGCTGGAGACGTTTTCTCAGTGACATGATTGTTTCTAAAAGTTGCTCTTCAGAACAATACTTTCTGCGTCTCAAGATCTCCTTATGATTTGCTGAATAACGCCAGGTAACATCTTGCACATTGTCATGTGTATATGCCATAATGTAAGAAAGTTTCTTATTCCAACCCAACTCATACATAAGAGGTGAGTCATATGCATTTTCACAGGGATCACAATGCACCCAACGAGATTGAGCGGTCAGGAAAACCTGAAAAAGTAATCTTTGAGCTGGTTTGAAAGTCTTTAGATGGAAAACTAAATGCAATAATTCAACCAAAATTATTTACCTCAGTCCACACATGATCTGTTTCATCAATGACAAGTCGACTGTCCCACCCAAGAGCAAGACACAAGAACGTGAAACACCTGCCCCACTCGCCACATCGGCCTCGCCTTGTTTCTAGGAGTTTCATAGGGTCAGTGTGTCGTGGAAAATCAGTTGATTGGAAACACACTGCACACTCATAAACCTGTGACAACAAACCATACAATAGTTCATAATTTACATACACAAAAGTACGCATTTTTCAGAACAAAGAAAGCATTTCTGAACTTACTTCCACTCTTATATCATCTCGAGAGATAGTTCTCTGAAACTTTGTCTTGCCAGAGCAAAAATGACATGAAGGATTATTTACCCAGCTGAAAAACCTCTCCTTAAACCATGCCAAAAGTTGTATGAGGACCAGTTCCTGCATGCTGGGCTCCGCAGCCACATTTTGATTTTTCTCTGCTTGCTCTTTCTTAATAACCATCTGTATTTTGCGCAACTGTTCCAGTGCAGCTGTTTCTAGTTCAGTAACGGGAACGTATGATTTTGCCAGATCAAGCAGTTCTTTATTGTGAGACCGTGATACTACTTCAGACGCCGCCACAATCCTTTCCAAAAACCCTGGCTGTAAAAAACGATTATTATTGTTGGTATTGTGATTTATTAAATAAATTTTGTTAATGCTTTCTGGCCATTCCATAAAGTAGGGTTTACCTTAGGAGTGAAATGTGTTTTTGACCCTGACGCTTCCTTCACATTCTGTTGCTCAGATGCTGTAGATGCTGCTGCCTTGGTTACTGCAGAGGTATTTGTCTTTTGAGAAGGCCCAACCTGGATAAGAGAGGCCAAACGGCGAATACATATTTAAGTCACCTTGAGCAGTAAGTCAGGATAAAAGGGAGTGATGACACTCACGTTTCTTTTGTCTGAGGCAGTGCTGCTGGAAGGGGTTGATGCATCTTGGCTTCTCGCGGCTTGCGAGGTAGCTCCAGAGGTTGATTTAGAAACAGCACCAAGTGACGAACTTGACAGAGTAGCTACTTTGTTTCGTCTTGTGAACATCTCATCGTGGATTTTTTTGAGGTTTTCAAGGCTTGAAGAAGTAGGAAGCACCAAACAGTCACCTGCCTGAAAAACAGAGGGTACAAACTGACTGTAACAATCCACACATTGGCAGTTTGCCAGCGCCTTCATAACTAATGGGGCAAATTGATGGACCGTTTTATCAGTCACAGTGGCACGTTTCACATGTTATTCTGAACTGTGACTGGTAAGTAAATTCCATAATAAAATGGGCCTTACCTCTTGAAATCCCATTTCAAATAAACACTCCATAGCGCCCACAGCAGGAAGTAACTTGTTTACGACGGTTGGATTGGCCAACCTAATGCTTCGGAACTTCGGTTCGGACGGATTCTTTATCACATTACTGGCGAGTCGAAGAAGTACGGAAGTCACTTCAAGGTATATTTCTCTAGGATTCTCTTCTAGAGTTAAAAGAGTAGCAGAACCCACAGGTGGCATTTTTATAAACAACTTCAGATTATCCCAGTCACAGTTCACATACAGGACATACACCAGGCAGTTACTCTAATGCATTCAATTCTTTCTAAGAGTGAGTCAGAACCATGTCCAGCTGGTACAGTTCCTGAAATTGCTGAGACTTAAATAATATCGTGATTGATGGGGCTTATGCTATATGTCATGTTTGTCATGTCATACACAGTAGAGTCCTGTACTATAAAACTCTAATAACATCATAAACGCATCACAAACTTGTCATACTTGCCAATAGTGAATGTTCTTGCCAACTTGTCTGAAAATAGATTTCATAATTCTGTCCTCACTTTCACGATAAAAATGAAAGAGAACTGGACCAAAAAGAGTGTAACAAAGAATGAAACCCACAATTTATCTTCATGCAGTATTTCTTCAAATTTCAGGCCTATACAAATTTCAATGATTCAGATGGTAGTGTTGGTCATGGATTCCTATGTCAGATCAGCTGGGTGTTTGGTAAATAAACCCTGCGTAGACGACATTATTCGGCACTCATGGTTTCCCAAAAATATTTGGATATCTGCGTTAATTTTTAGGTGCTCAAAGTACCATGGGTGGTCTGTGCTGCCCAATTATGTCCTGCCCACTGTACAAGCGAGGGAGCTGCAAGTCCTCCACAGAGCATGTTCATATCCACAGGTAAAGTGTTAGTCTGTCAAAAGGTTGGGATCCCCGATACCGGGACTCTTGTCATTGTCACCTTATTTATATTGTGTGGCAGGTTTCCGAAAAATAACTTGAAAATCAGAGAGCTCTGGGAAAAATTTGTGAGCAAACAAAATGGGGCACCCTTCAAATGCAGGAGAAAGCATGGTCTATGCACTGCACATTTTGAAGCGAAGTGGATGATGCCCAGTGGACGGATTGGAAGAGAGGCTGTTCCTAGCATTGCTCCTTTGTAAGTGGTCTTTTGCGATTTCTTGTGTCCGTTTGTTGTCTTTCTTTTTTATTTAAATCTTTTCCTTGACTTACGTTATAGGTCAACTAAGAAGGTTCTTTGCAAGTGGGACATGGAAAACTCCACACTCCCTATTACGGAAGAAGTAATTGAAGCTTCTTCTTCGAGTCCTGTCGAAGCAAACAGTGAATGTGTCAGTGCTGCTGAAAATGTGTCTATGAATGAAGAGGTTGGTATTCCAGATGATCTTAGCTCTGCTGGGGAAATCAATTTTCTGGAAGACTTTAATATTGAAGTGAACAGTTCACATTCACCTTCAAATCCATTTGATACAGACGAGTTTGAAATGTTAGATACTGTTGAAAAAGTAGAAAATGCCATTAGACATGAAAAAGAAGAAGCTTTGAAGAGGTATCAAGCATCCATGCAGAAGGTCCAAAATTTGAAAGTTCTCTTAAATCAGTTAAAGGAGGCTGGCTCTGTTCAAAATAAAATCTCCTCAACTTCTCCTGTCAAGAAGGTTCCATCATCAATAGATTCTTCCATTCTAAAATCACCTTTTGCAATTACGGTTCCCACTGCCCCATTTATAGGATCTGCATCAATAGGAGACAATGGTTTACCTCCACCTTTGTTTGATGATTACAATTAGTTTTCTAGTTTGTTCTTTTAGCAAGGTTTCGTGTCTCTGCTTTGTTTTTGTAGGGAATGGAGCTAATCTTTTCCATTGTCTAGCCATTTATGTATGAAATTAATATATTGTTAATTTGTTATTTATTATTAATGTTTATAGTTCCATCTGTTTTCTTTGTCTTGTTGGCTCTCTTTCTTAATTTTAGATAGTTGATGCTTAGCGAAAACTGCCTGATGTTTTAGTCGACTGAATTGTGTTTAGTCCTCTACTGAAATTACTGAATGAAACTGATCAACAAATTTCCCATACAGAACAAATTGTGATTATTTGCAGGGAGCTATGTTATATACACTAATGTGAAAAGAATTTTGATATGACTTCATGCAAAACAGTTCAGAGTAAACAATAAAGAAAGACTGAAACTGCCCTGTTAAAGACATGGGTTCATTTGGCTATATTTTCCTTATCAATCTTTTAATAATTTATTGTAGTGTTCCTTCGTTTGGAAAGACAAATGTGCTTTTTATAATAGTTGATGACTTACGACCAGCATTAAATTGTTATGGTGATGACTCAGCTTACACACCAAATATTGATTCTTTGGCTCAGCATTCGTTTGTCTTCGTAAATGCTTATGCACAGGTATGTACGTCAATTTAAGTTGTTGAGTGACAGTCGATGCTGTATTGTAATTTTTTTTGTTTGAACAGCAAGCGTTGTGTGGTCCTAGTCGAACATCGCTTTTGACCAGTAGAAGCCCTCATCACCTCCGTCAGTATGATGTTCACCGATACTGGCGATTATCTGCTGGAAATTTTACATCACTTCCTCAGTATTTTCGGGAAAATGGTTACAATACTATGTCTATTGGGAAAGTTTTTCATCCAGGTAAACCCATGGCCAAATTTCCTGTACAAATTAGTTTTCCAGGAAAGTACTATTTAATTTTCTTTTTTCCTTAAACATTAGGTAAATGCAGCAATTTTGATGATCAACCATATAGCTGGTCTCATGAACCGTTTCATCCCATGACTGAGAAGTACAAGAACTACCCAGTGTGTCCAGATATCAATGGAAGTGGTCCTTCAAAAAGTATAGTGTGTCCTGTGTTGGTTGATGACCAACCTGGAGAGACTCTGCCTGATCTGGAATCTGTTGAAGCTGCCAAAAACTATCTTGATAGTCGAATCCAGGGAAGATCAGATGAGCCCTTTTTCTTAGCAGTTGGCTTTCATAAGCCCCACATTCCTTTGAAATTCCCCATTGAGTACCTAAGTAAGAGCTGTTCTGTTACCTATTAATGCATACATTAGGTATGACTTTGACACAGTCATTTGCTTGTATTCTTATAGAATACCACCCTCTAGAAAAAGTGAGGTTGCCATCAATGAGAAGCCGTCCTCCTGGCCTGCCTAGTTCTGCATGGAATCCGTGGATTGACCTGCGAAAGAGAGATGATATACATGCTTTAAACATTAGTTTTCCCTGGGGCCAAATGCCTGGTAAATATACTCTATTGCTTGACTTGAAATAATTAATTAGTTAGAGTTTCCGGCAACTAAACTGTTTCCTCATTCAGATGATTGGGCTAAGAAATTGAAGCAAAGCTACTACGGCTCAGTATCTTATGTGGATCATCTCATTGGACAATTACTGCAAAAATTAGATGCACTAGGCCAAAGAAACAATACTGCTATCCTTGTTACCAGTGATCATGGTAATAAAGCTATAAAACCTTATTTTTCTGTGTAATTATTTTAATTCATTTCTCTGTTTCTCATCACTCCAATTGCCCTGTTCCAGGCTGGTCTGTGGGAGAGCATGGAGAGTGGTCAAAGTACAGCAACTTTGACATCTCCACACGTGTTCCTTTCATCTTATCCATTCCTGGATGGAGAGGGGGCCAAGTGACAAATCTTGTTGAGCTTTTAGACATTTTCCCCACTTTGGCTGATTTAGCAGGGCTCAAAAGGATCCCAAAATGTGAAAACGGGTACTCTCAGATTTTGTGTACTGATGGAAGAAGCTTGATGGACGTCATAGGAAACACAATGGAAAAGGTGGTGTATTATTCATTCGAATAGTTTGCTAAACCAATTAAAATTATGAACATAAAACATAAATGTAAACTTTGAACCAGGAGCTTTGGAGAGAAGGAGCATACAGCCAGTATCCCAGGCCTGGAGTGTACCCATCGCTAGTTCCTGATTCGGACCAGCCCCACCAAAATGATATAAAAGTAATGGGGTAAGAAAGCAAAGTTTAGTTTAATGAATTGAGTTTTAAATGAATTACTCTGGGTGCACTAGACATTTCTTCTTCTAAAAATCTCAAAATTCTTAGGTACTCCATCCGTACTTCACGACATCGCTTCACTGAATGGGTTCAATTCAACATTGAAACAATGGTGCCAGTTTGGTCGAACAGTTTTGGAGGTGAACTCTATGATCATGTGATTGATCCGAATGAAAATTTGAACCTGTATGATAGGCCTCATTTAAACCCATTAGTTGTTTCTTTGAAAGAGAAATTACGTGAAAGGTGGAGTCACTGACAATATAATTTCTTTTCTGTCAAAAAAATGCTTTATTAAAAAATTATTTTTCCAAGTCAAGTCTTTTGTTTCTTGTTGTTCAAATAATTATCAAGGAAGTGGCGCAGGAAGATGAATGCCTCGCTTCTCGGCTTCAGCTTGATACTCCACTCTGTACACTCCAGAAGGATCGTATTTCTTTTCCAGCTTCAGGAACTCTTGAGGGTGCATTTCGATGAGGAACCGAATGACCCGCTCGGTTCCAGCCTGTTGCTTTGGAGTGCAGGCGTTGCACTTGTTCTTCAGAGCATCCGGCAGAATTTCTGAAATTCATTCGGTTCAATTTCAATGGTTGCGCTCAACAAACAGAACAGAACTCAGTCTTTAAAGTGAAACAATTTTTTGGGGGGGAAGTTGCCGGAAACTTACTTCTCAGCTCGAGCCCGTCCGGCGTGCAGGGTCCGGTCTCCATGAGGCAGTTGAAGTAGTTTTTGAGCAGCCTCTCGGAGCGCAGGATCTCCTCCAGGTCGATGTTGTCGTAGCGCGTGCTGTAGGTGGGCTTGGCCTCCTGAGCCGTCGCCGCGGCCAGCGCCGCCACCAGCAGGACGCACACCTTGAGGGAACACATGGCACGACACTGATGAGAGCACTGAACAGCACACCGAGGAGATGACTAACTGGTCGCCCGACGGCCAGGGCATATATAGCTGAGGCTTCCCCGCCGGCGCTGCACTGTAGGCACTGCTGCCCCTGCTCGCTCCGTCTCTCTCGCACCCCCGAGCGGCGCCCCACGCGTACGAGAAAGACAGAGGAGTGACGTACGCACTGTTCGCAATGTCGGAATGGAGCTGCTGCGTGGCTGCAGTGGCTGGGGCTCGCGGAGGTCACTTCGTCATGCAACGCAGCAACGCTGGGAGGCTCTTCCAGGAGCTCTTCCCCAGGATGGAAGCCCGCACGGAGTCCAGCGGAGTGCACGCCACTGCTGCCGATTGCCGATTGCTTCCCGGCGTTTTGCTGCCCGCCCTGCCCGCCGAGCGACTCCGAGTCGCCTCTCCCACTCATCGCCCCTGTGAGTGCGAGAGAGACAGAGCGAAAAGCGTTCTTCCGAATCGCTCCGCTGGCCACCAATAACGAGAATTCCAGTCACAACAAAGCAAACGCGCCCCTCCGGTGGCCGTGAGCGCCCTGCCTTCAGGCAGTGCCGTCACGCGGACGAGCCGAGAGGGTTGCCTATCGCCGTTTTACCATTACCATTAAGGGCTAGACCACATATGATCGTATGCCATTTCGGGGCCCGACACATGCCCGCCTGAGTCGCAGGCGTGAAGCTTCCCCTGCAACTGCACATGCTGGTGCTGGACCACAGTCAGTCTGTCCTTGTCGTGGGGCGTCCCATAGGGCTGCGAGAGAGAGAGAGAGAGAGAGAGAGAGAGAGAGAGAGAGAGAGAGAGGCCGACGAGGGCAGTGCTCAGAGCTGGCTAGGACGCCACCCCTCACAGTCCACTAGGACTGCTCGGACTTTCTCCCACACTGTATTCCAGACGAGACGTCCAAAACGAAAACGAAACCAAAAGACAGGTAGCGAACGCGGAGCGCGCTGGGGGAGGGGAGGGGGCGTGGGAATCGTGCCTCAATGCCAAGGTGCGCTGTGGGAAGGGCATTTAGGATTAGAGGACACACTGCGGAATTGAGCGCTCATAACTATTCCAGCGAGAAGGTTGGCCGCATGCCTGAGGCCTGAGGCCAATAAAGACGCTTAGTAGTGCGTGGCGACCTCCCCGACCAAACCTCACCTCGTTCAGACTAACTTAATCCAACCTCTTAGGCGCGGGAGCGTATCCTCCGTGGGTTAGGTTAGGTCGTATTCACTTTCCCTTTCGGTGGACCTTTTTTCCAATTCTTGCAGTGCAGGCTGACCGTGGAGTTGGGCTGACTCCGGAGAGTCTCCGTCAGTGCGAGAGTAAGTCAAGTCAAGTGGAAGGCGGTGCGGTGGCCAACCCCGTAAAGCAGGCAACCCATTCGACGTCGGTACACTGCTCGTCTGGAGGTCTGCGGAGGAGCGAGAAAGACAGAGACGAACCCCAATCAGTGCCTCGCCGTTGTGTTGAGACCACAGGGGGGTTGTGGGCCCCTAGCCGACCTGGTGCGGTGTCAAACTGCACACGAGACGCCCCGCGAGTGCGAGAGAGACAGCCTGCAGGGCACGACGCCGTGTCCTGGAAACGGACGCGCATTCTCGCCGCCGTTTGTCCCATTCTCACGCAGTGAAAAACCGCGCGCCGCGCGCCCAGGCCACTCACTCGTCGCTTTGTCTCTCGCGCTCACGCGGCGTGCGCCACAGTGCGAGAGAGATGGCTGGCCTGGCCACAACAATGCGATGCACCGGATTCTCCAAAACCGGGACGAGCAAGCAGAGCGAGTTTTCGGGACGCGGCGCACGGCGCACGCGTTCACGGGGCGGCCCGCAGCGGCCCTGCGGGTGCGAGAGAGACAGACCAGCGGGAACTAGGCGCACAGCGCGCACAGCAAGTGGGTCCTCACCTTTCCCAGGTCGGGTCAGACGTGTCACGCCCCTGGGCACCCCGTCGCTGCGTCTCACAGTGGACCAGCGTCTCTCTCGCACGTCTCGCTCGCGTATTTCTTTGGGGTTCGTCATTTGTTTGGAAGCATAAGCATACAACAGTGGACCCGCACCCGTGGGCGACGCCCCGCGAGTGCAAGAGAGACACAGCGACGAAAACGACTCTCGGCATCAGTATGCAGAGCTTGTCAATCGCCGGTCCTGCGTCCACCCTTGTGGCGGGGTGCCTCTCCGCGCCGGCCGTGCCGCCGGAGGTGGCGGCGGAGGGGAGGGGGAGGGAGGGGGCGTGAGCCAGGAAAGGGGGAGGGGGCCCAACTGAGTGGCGCTGGGGCCGGCCGGCCGCGCCGCCGCCGCGCTGGCTCGGCAGTTCCGTTAGTGAAGGTCGGACGCCGCCACGCTAGGGCCGTCGACGCCGACGTCGGCAGGCTGTGTAGCACGGAGCGCTGTGCCGCGGTGCCGCTGAGCCCCACGACGCGACGACGCCCCGCTCAGCTGGGCCGCCGAGGCCCGCCCCCCCGGCACGGCCCGCGCGCGTGTGTGTGAGTGTGTGACAGGGAGTGCACGTGCAGGACACGTGTGAAGGCATGGTGGTGTGAGTGATGTGCCACGCGACTCGGTGCAGGCCGGCAGCACGCCGGACACGCTGCAGGTAAGACGAGTCACTTGACAGTGGTGACGCACAGTGGGCCAGAAGACCGGTGGAGGCGGCCAAAACTCAAAACGCGTTTTGAGCTCCAGAGTCACTAACCAGGACTCGAACCGAACGTGTGGCCCCACCAATGGATTCCTCGTTCGGAGAGCAATCCATTGGTGGGGTCACACGTTCGGTTCGAGTCCCATTTAGCGACGCTGGAGCTCAAAACGCGTCTAGAGTTTCGGCCGCCTCCACCGGTCTTCTAACCCACTGTGTGACTGCTGCACTGGTTGTCACGCCGCCGGGAGAGCGTTGTTGTCGCGCCGTCGTCACGGACGTGTCACACGCCTCGGAGTGCGCGCGCCGTGTCCCGTAACGGTCGCCACACTGGTGGAGGAGTGTGACTGGCCACACCGTGCGGTGGGTCGCCCTGTCGCCCTCGCCCCTACTGAAGGGTCTTTCGTGCGAGAGAGACAGAGCGAGTATCCCACTCACAGTGGGCCAGAAGACCGGTGGAGGCGGTCAAAATCCCGGACGCGTTTTGAGCTCCAGTCCAGAGTCGCTTAATGGGACTCGAACCGAACGTGCGACCCCACCAATGGATTGCTGTCGGAACGAGGAATCCATTGGTGGGGTCACACGTTCGGTTCGAGTCCCGTTCAGCGACTCTGGAGCTCAAAACGCGTTTAGAGTTTTGTCCGCCTCCACCGGTGTTCTGGCGAATCCACAGCGTGTTCCAGTCTGTAACAGTGTCACCGCCGTCGTTCCTCTGTGGCCGTGGAAAGTCGGCGACTTCGCGTCTGGGTGTGCGGTGCTCGGTGTACGCCACTGCTGAAGTGGGGCAGAAAGCGGCGTCGATCGTCCTCACTGTAAAAGTTTGACGGACGGCTGCAGTAAAGGGCTTGCGACGGGCGCTGCCGCAAAAATATTCTCACAGAAGAGGAGTGGCTTTCAACCAAAACAGCGTCAAGTCATTTTGAAGTCTAAGCACACCAAAACGTGGATTTCTGTGGGAATTTTTCCAGTGGGTCTACCTTGTTAACAGTGTACTCCACTCGACGAGGAAATCCCAGTGTGGGATCGGGCAAGTCGCGGATTTGGAACGGTTGGGCCGGCGGGTTCGGGAATTCGGGAACGCCGTAATCTAATCTGCACACCTGCCCCGTCGACCACGCCCCCTCCCCCACTATCTCGCGAAAAGGGCATTTTTTTTTTCTGGCGAAAACGATCGCGTCAGCCTCCGCCTATCGCGCACCTGCGCGCCACGCGACAGAGACTGACGTACGACAGCCGTCAGGCGCTCGTCTCGTCAGCCGCCGCGGTCGCGCCACCCACGTCGCGCCACCGGAGCGGTCCGTTCGCGGGTTCAAATACCGCGACCGGCTGCTGTTGTATTTTTTTTTCCTGTTTCTGCCGCCCGGGCTGACCTTGTTTCCCGCGCCGAATGACTGGAGCACGCCGAGGTGCGGGCCGGGCAGGCCGACGGCACGCCACACGCACCTGCACTGTTGGAAACGGGCCCACGAGGGGCGGCCGCGGTTTGCGTGGCTTTCGACTCACTTTTCGACACAGTGGATTTGCCAGAAGACCGGCGGAGGCGGTCAGAGTCCCGGACGCGTTTTGAGCTCCAGAGTCACTGAATGGGATTCGAACCGAACGTGTGACCCCACCAATGGATTCCTCGTTCGGACAGCAATCCATTGGTGGGGTCACACGTTCGGTTCGAATCCCATTCAGCGACTCTGGAGCGTCCGGGATTTTGACCGCCCACCGGTCTTCTGTCTGTCTGACGGCCGGACGCCACAACGAACGCATCGGCGCCTCGGACCGTTTTGTCCGGCGTGGCAGTGGCGTGGCCTGCAGTGGCGTGGCAGTCGCGGTCCGATTCGGCCCGCGGCGTGGCGCGGCGTAGCGGTCCGAACGGTGTTCCGCGGAATGCAGTGCAAGGCGGTGCAGGGCGGTGCTCTTGATCGGGTCAATTGCAGTGCAGTGCACAGCGAGGCGGTGGTGCCGCTGCAGCCATCGGCCGGTGCAGGGCGGTGCTCTTGATCGGGTCAATTGCAGTGCAGTGCACAGCGAGGCGGTGGTGCCGCTGCAGCCATCGGCCGGTGCAGGGCGGTGCTCTTGATCGGGTCAATTGCAGTGCAGTGCACAGCGAGGCGGTGGTGCCGCTGCAGCCATCGGCCGGCAGCCCTGCGTCGACCAACCTAGACACTAGCGCAACGCAGCCGTGTTCCCCGGGAAGGCACGGAAAAAATGCTGCGCCGAAATTCTGGACGCGTTTTGAGCTCCAGAGTCGCTAAATGGGACTCGAACCGAACGTGTGACCCCACCAATGGATTGCTCTCCGCACGAGGAATCCATTGGTGGGGTCACACGTTCGGTTCGAGCCCTGCTTAGCGACTCTGCAGCTCAAACCGCGTCTTTGGCCGCGTCCACGGGTCCTCCGGCGCGCCGGCCAGGTGTTTGGCAGAGGCTGCCAAGGCTGCTTGGAAATGAAACGAACGGCCTTTCCAGGCGATTACCTCGCGGAGCGCGTTCAAGTCTCTGGCACCGCGAACGCCGCGAACGCGCCAGTGTAGGCTCCGTGCCCGCCCGCTCGCAAGCCAGCCAGCCAGCCAGCACCCTCATCCGGATAATCGCATCTGCAGGCGGCCCGGCCCGGCCCACCTGCAGTGGGGGAGGACGGGGTTTTCACTCGGCTGCAGCACTGCTAGCTGCGCTGCGGCGCCGCGGGACGATTAGTGTATGTCAAACACTTTCACTGAGCCGAAGCCCGCGTCCCTGCGCGTCCCCGCGCGTCGCAGAGTCCCACTGCCGCTGGGCGCCGCACAGTGGGCCAGAAGACCGGTGGAGGCGGCCAGAACTCCAGACGCGTTTTGAGCTCCAGAGTCGCTGAATGGGATTCGAACCGAACGTGTGACCCCACCAATGGATTCCTCGTTCGGAGAGCAATCCATTGGTGGGGTCACACGTTCGGTTCGAGGTCCATTTAGCGACTCTGCAGCTCAAAACGCTCAATCCGCGCCACTGTTTTTTATGTGCTTTCTCGTTTTGCATCCAGTGCGGTGCTGGAGGCCAATCGCTGCGGGCAAATTGCAGGGCAATCCGGGAGGACTACAGTGTGGCTACACCGCTGGAGGATTCCGCTAGAAACAGCCCTTTTTTGTGTTTCTTTTCAATTTTAATTTTTTTGTAGTGTACTGCATTGTTTGAACACGGTCGAGTCAAATAAATGACGCAATTTGGGGTCTGGCCGGGGCACTGCCGGCGCTGCACCCACGCGGTGACGCCGGGACGCCATCTATCGCGCTATCGCGTTGCGGATCGATATCAGACAAGCCGACAATGGCGCCCATGGCGGCGCGGGAAAGAAAAACAACAACAACAAAAGAGTCATTACCACGCCGTCACAAATCGCTGTGGTTTTTTTTCCCTCTGACTGGCCGTCCTGTTGGTTTGTCTAATTGAAATCGCCGCAAAACGTAGTTGTCTTTTTCTTTAATTTTTTTTTTTTAAATTGTGGTGGTGGTGGTGGTGGCGAACGCCGAGCGGCATTTATTGCAGACGAGGTCCTCAGGTCCTTCCCCTCCGCGGGGTCGCTCTTCCGTAACACCTGTAACGCCGAGCCGAGCCGAGCCGAGCCGAGCCGGCGTGCAAACGAGATTTCGGTGCGATCAGAGGGGCCTCGACGGCGTCCCCCCGACCGGACCGGCACGGCGGGCATGGCAGGCACGGCCCATCAGGTGCGGCGGGGTGCACAGCTTTCTACCGTGTGTGTGCCTTGGCGAGAGAGAGAGAGAGAGAGAGAGAGAGAGAGAGAGAGAGAGAGAGAGAGAGAGAGAGAGAGAGAGAGAGAGAGAGGGGGGGGTATTTACCTGCATAAGAGCTTGTGCGAGTGTGTCTTGGGGGTTAGGGTTGCCACCCCGGGCAGCTGTTCGTGTAGCCCAGAACAGTGCACTCTCAGCGGGTGTGAGAGAGTGAGTGTGTGCGAGAGTGACAGCGCGTAAAACACGCCTTCTCTTTTTAATAGCGGCGCCTTTCCGGTCCTAGATTGTGGCCGATGGTCCGGATAGAGAGACGAGGAGGTTCCTCTGGCGCTTCACCTCCGGCGTGACGCAGGCCGTGCGTCGTAAGGCCCTCTGTCTCTCTCCCTCTCGCGCCTCTCACGCGAGAGAGACAGTGCGACGATAGCGAGGTGCCGCCAGCCGCGGCCACCCCACAGGTGGTTTCATTGGCGTCACAGTTAAAAAACAAAAACACTTCCCGCCGCTCGGCCGGATGGGTGTGGCGAACTGGGCCGCCGTTCTAAATCCGTCCGGATAAAAAAAGAGCGAAAAACGGAATCGAAGTGGTCGTGTGGCACGGCTGCAGGCTTACGTAATGATTCGCATCGTGTTATGGCGGCGTTTGCATCGAAGTGGCCGGCCGAAGTACTTTTCACAGAGTACTTCCCGCTGACAGTATGACTCTCGGCAGGGGTTTGGAGGGGCTAGCGCCACACCCGCGGGCCGAAGAGGCGAAAAGAACGCCGCCCGTTGGAGGCAGTGCGTCGTAGCCGCCATAGGTTAGATGCAGTGGCTGCCCAAAGTCAGGCCAAAGCACGATTTCTACACATTTGTTACCGTTTCGACAAACTTTGCTGCCCACTTCGCATCGAGTCCCTTTCTCCGGCAGTCCGTTGGGCCGCTCTCTGTCGCCAATTCCGCCTTGGGCATTCCCTGTCCGTTTCCGCCCTCGGTTCGGTTCTCATTGTTGCCAACACTACAACAGGGGCGCCTTGCTCCACCTCTCTCTCTGCGGCCTGCGGGCCGCGAGTGCGAGAGAGACAGAGCGACGAAGCGGCCGTGGGAGCCGCAGAGGTGTGCGCTGTGCGCTGGATTCCGCGGAAGGCCGCAGCACTGGAAGGACTCGCTGCACAGTGGGCCAGAAGACCGTCCGTGGAGAGGTTCTGCCGAGAGTTCGGCTGGGCTTAGAGAGGCGAAGAGGCCGAGAGACACGGGGTCCGTAGAGAG